GACGCTAAGCACGATCTTATGCTCAAGCCAGCTTACACGCATACATGCATACATACATACATACATATAAGAAAAATAAACACGCGCGCATGCATATGTATATGTATGTTCATATATAAACCCTTTACATGTGTACATTAGGGTGGTCCTTAAAAAATCAAAGGAACGATATTTTTCTGTCTCACTCCCTCAATCCGTAATACCACGGTCACACATATCACATACAAATTTTGGCCCCAATCGGAGGCGGTTAAGGCGTGTCGTGTCGCACAGGGGCCCAAAGTTCAGTTTCCTCGATAGAGATTCAAAAAATTTAAATTAATTTTTTTGGAAACTCATACCCAAAATCGATACTACTAAAGTCGAAGATAACACATAAAAATGTTGGTCCCGATTGGAGTTGGTCAAGACGTCTTCATAGGGTAATCTGAATTTTGACCCCCGCGCGCCACGCCTTAACCGACTACAATCGGGGGCCAACATTTATTTGTGATATCTTCAACTATAGTAGCATCGGCGTAGGGGTTGAGGCTTAGGAAATCTGATGTAAAAATTTGCTTCCTACATTTAAGAGTCACCCTAATGTACATGAATATGTATGTATGTACATACGTAGCTCGAGCACACGTTCTGCTAAGCATTGTAAGCGCAGCTTAGCCGTTGCGGTCGCTGTTGCTGGCGGCCCTACCGCTGTCGAACTCACCGTCACTGCCACGGCACTGTCGCCGTCACCGTTACACATTCGCTTGCATTTCAGGTTGCACTGATCGTCTCAACACTGCTGCATAGGTTCTTTCGATAAAGAGCTGTGTGTGTTGTGTGTGTGTGGCTGCTTCAAATGATTGTGTGTGTAGCGAGTAATTGTTTCTATCAAGCGAGCGGGAACTCGTTGACTAGCCATAAGTATTAATGGTGCCGGAGCCGTTGTCTTTTCCAGTCTTCGAGTGGCTCTTAATGAGCGTAGTCTTCTGGTGCGGAAAATTCTCAAAAACAAAATATTCCTTAACGAAGTAAACCAAATAAAAACAACATACTAGTGGAACGTTGATACTCGAAAATGTAAAAATTTAACTTTAATTAAATAAAAAAAAAAACTATGCAAAATTTAATTACAGTAAATAATAAAACTTAACAACCGAAAAGCTAAAACGCAGAGACACGAAACATACAAGATACCTATGTACGTTTGTACATAAAATGTATGTGTGTACATATGTATTTATGTACATTTGTGCATCTGTATGTACTACATCCATATGTAGCTATCTTTGTATGGAAGCATTTTTTAAGTTTCAGTCTCAAATTAATTTTGAAAATAATCTATTTTAAATATGTTTATGTTTATGTACACAAATAGAGCACGCGAGGAGATGGTGTTGTGTTAATTCGTTGTCACGTTTTTAAATCGCCTGCAAACATTATTCGTATGAAAAGAAAACAAACGAGTGTTTGGGTGCGTGTGTGTGTGTGGCTGTGTGCTCATATCCTGGATGAACGGATCCGTTTTGGTGGCGAATGCAAACACTAATGCACCCTTATGTACATATATGTACATATGTGTGTATGCATTCGTGTGTGTGTGAATTTGAAAGTCAATTTTGACAGCTTTCTACCCTTGCTTGTGGCTTAAAGAAAAAGTGATCGCGTCTGAGCTCGATTCCATGCCAAAGTGTTTGATAAGAGCGAACCTATGTACAAACGCTGTCGCGTACTTTTGTCCAACTCTAACAGATGCATACATATGTACATACACACATATTTATTTACGTAAATGTATATACATTTGTTTGTAAACAAAAATTTTTTAGTGTTGAATCGATTTGCTTAAATAGCATCTTAGTATTTTGGAATTTGTGCACGTTTTTCAAATAAATACGAAATAGCAGCCGCATGCCACTGCGAGTGGGTACGTGGGAATTACTGCATTTTCTATAATTTACGTAGGAATTTTCAAATATTAACGACAAATGTACTATACATACATATACATATGTACATACATATATTATGAAGTATACAAAGTTGACTATGACACGTTTTCGGTTGGGTTTTGTTCGTGAATTTGCATGCAACAACACTACATACTTGTCTTTTGGAATATCAGCAGGCGTCAGATAGGCACTACCGCTTTTGTCTATTTATAAGCAAATAGCATCTGTATATGTACATACATATATATATATCTGTATATGTACATATGTATGTTTGTATGTATCTATTATATAGTTAAAAATTCGATTCGATAATGGGCGGGATTTCGAATTCATAACAAAGGGAAAATACATTGGATAACGAAGGTTCCGTTTTGCTAGAAAATGGCCTGGTTCTCGCATCGAATACTAACCTTTGGCGCATTCGTTATCGAAGCTGAAACTCGAAAAACTGATTAGTTTTCCAATCATTTTCGAATTGTTAACCAAGCCGAATGTTTATTGGGAAGCTACTAAAAAATTCCACCACGTTTACTCATTATCAGTAAAATAATTTAAATCAGCATTTAATTATTATTTTGTGATTTTTATTTATTTCGCTTAAAAATAATAATTATTATTGAATTTTATTTTTTCGCTCAACGGAAATAATTATTTTATGATTTTTATTTTTCCATTTAAAAATAATGAAATTTTGACCTGAAAATTTTGGGATTTAATCCTTTTATTTATTTTTTTTTTTTTTGAGTTTTCTGTATGATCATTATTCTTAAGTGAAATAATAAAACTCAATAATAATTATTATCTTTGAGCGAAAAAAAATAAAAATCATAAAACAATCATTATTTTTGATCGAAAAAATAAAAATCAAGTAATAATAAGTTCCTATGGGGCGAAAAAATAAAAGTCAAGTATTAATTATTATTTTTAATCTTAATTGATTAAACTCGAAAAACACTCGGAACTGGTGACTAGGACGGCCATTCCTATACAGTTCTTCTTTTTTTGTCTTTTTTTATACAAAGCCTAAGAAAAAGAGTAAGAGAGTTATTCTTCCCTTAGTCTCCATGCTGACGTTGTTGGTGTTGTTTATACTGGTAAAAAAGTAAGCTTATTCGCAAAAATAGTTTGTAAAAAGTTTTTCGAATTTTCTTTTCACTTATCACAAACGAGGCCCTGAATATCCACCTTCTACTCCAATAACCAGACAGACAGGTCTATTCCGCGCCGAAAATGATTATTCTTTAAAAATGTGTCAAAATACCGGCTGCCCTAGTCTTTCCCTCGCAATTTTAATTGACCACATTTTTTTATTTACATTTCGGTTAGTTTTGGCGAGTACTCTTTACATGCAGAGTACTCTTTGCCTGCGTGCATGGAGTAGTCGCGATTTTTGCAGGGTAATCAGCAGTGTTTCTAACTCATTAAACCGCCTTTGTATATATGTATGTACCTACGTATCGCACATTTGCCGCAGGAGTGCCATAATTAAAAAAAAAATAATCTAGAAACGTATGCAGAAATTACCGCTACCTCTTCTTCTATGTTCTGCAAAAATTTCATACCTGTATCGATTCATATCAGTATCTCAATTAATTAATTTTTTATAAGAATGTAGCATATTCTACGTGTAAATCCGATTTAAAGATTGTATACAAATAAAAAAAACAACATATCAACAAAGGAATACTTTAAGCGACGATATGCATAAATTGTATGTAACTTTTATCTGTTTAGCTTCGAGTCTACGATAGCAATGACTAAGAGAATAATCAATGTCTATTAAAATAGATATTCACTAAGCAATAAAAAAACGTTTTTTTTTTATTTGTTGTTGTTCCTGTAATTTTTCTCATTCAACACGACAAAAAAATTAGAATTTTTACGACCAGACAACTCTCCAGTAGTTAAGTTTGCGTATCCATTTCCATGACCGCATGCGCTTGGTGGATGCAGAGAGAGACAGGTAGGTGTGTGTGCTTACAACGCAATCGCGTATTGACATACATATATTTGTATGTACATACATTTCTGTGCCGTTCAATTAAAGTAGCCTATGACGGTATAGGCCCTTTTCGCTTTAAAGCAGCATTTCATTGAGTTCCCAAACAAAATTTTAACTCGCCATAGGTGTAGTTCAAGATGCCCTTGGATGGCAGCTAAATAAGAATATAAAAATTTTCAAGGGAAACAACTGACTATTTTTTAATTCAAAGTCAAACTTTCTAAAGTCACTTAAGCTACTTTAATTGTACGGCACAGATATGTTTAAGGCATCGTTTCAATAAAAATCAATATTTGCATACTTATAACTACAGTGCCTAATTAAATCGAATACATATGGCAGATGAATTTCGTAGATAAATAAATAGGTATATATGTATGTGTATGTGTGTATGTAAAAATAGTAATTAAAAAAAAAAAAAACAATTTTTTTTAAGACAAGCTTTCTTTGTTTAGTGGCTAATAAAAAAATCACCCCCGCACCACCTAACGGCTAAATTTATTATGGAGTTATTTCTTTCCAAAATAAATCGGACCATAAATATGGGTAGGTAATATAAATTCCAAATCTGAACAATATCGGTCCATAAAAATGGGTTTTTCAGATATCTCCAAAGCCGCGCCACCTAGCGGGGTAATTCATCTTAAACATTGCGTTGTCTTCCGGGCTCTGAGCTGAGTTAAAAGGTTTCAAGCATCTAGCTCATCGCCCCAAGATGGTTAAAAATGGTTTGCAAGATTTTATTACGCACAGATGAAACATAATAAAAGCTTGTAAAAAAACCATATCGCTGATTTACTTCGATAGTGTCATAACTCAAAAAAGGGAACTCGAGAAAACCGGCTTTAAAGTTTTGAACTAACATATCGAGGGCTTATATTCAATACCCTCAATGTGTAATTTTCACAAAAACTACTTTGTGATGTTAGAACCCATCTGCGACTTACCTATCATCACTGATGGTAATTATGACTTTGCAATTTAGGTCTTAGGTGCATTTTTATATCAGAATCTCAGTTTTGTGAAAAGTGCAGATAGAGGGTATTGAATATAAGCCCTCGATATACTCCCATAGTAAAAAAGAATACACATTTTGTTCTAGTGATATACTGGAATATGGAAGAAGTGTAGCGATGATGACACTATTGAAGTAAGTACATACTGATGGTCCTCTGCAATGAGGACACAACTTAAAATTGAAAAAAAACCCTTATTACTGTTAAGTGTCAGGTGCCTCTAATCTTTGTCTTAGCCATGTCTCCTTATTAAAGTGACATTGCAGAGGACCATTAACATATATTGTACATAGGCATATACATACAGTGGCCAATTTACAGTCTTGCCGCCCTAGGCCCTGTGGCACAAGCCGCCATTTCCTCAACTTCAGTTATTTAGGTACTACATATGAATTAAATTTTTTGCCGAAATATATATTTCTTACCACGATACAAAATAGAAGGTAGTTTCAATAAATAACTTTTGACGGATAATATAATTTTTTGAAGTTTTATAAGTTATGAGTATTATCAACGGTCTTGCCATTTTGATAATACTAATCAAAGCTTTCGTCCAGTTGCATCCTGAAAAAATAGCATTTAAATAATCTATATCTCTAAAGTTTTTTAACTTGTACCCTGCGGCGCTGCACTTTTCGTACTTAGGGTTTACATTCCCACTTTTTTACTAATATATTCATACTTCTTTCATTGACTTCGTCACTGTATTTGGTTTTTCGAAGACAGTTTATTGTCTGAACTCCTACTTTACTCAATCAATGTGACAACGAATACGTATTCTTGTCTTGTGTAAACGCATGGTTATACAACTGTCACAGTCTCGGAGTTACTTGCGTCAAAAGTTGAGAGTTGGCCAAGGTTCGTTGGGTCCGTCGACGCAAAGGTTGGTAATCTGATGCTCTCTATGCAAACTTACACAGTCTACTCAACTGTCAGTTTCATCCTTGAGCGGAACGTACACAAAGTACTCATTCTGACGAGGCCATATTTTCGTTGCTTCTGCTAATATTGCTTATGAAATTTGAACCCTGCACGAAAATGCAAAGCACTCTGACTAAAACTCAAGGGTGTAGCGGCTAAAAACCAAATAGACCTGGATCTTTTTAC